TGGCTCACTGAAGGACTGCTTATATATGTATATATAAATTCCCCTCTCACCCCTGCGGGCGGTCTTTATCCTTCAAGCTTGGGTCCTCTACCAGAGGCCTGGGAGCTTAAGGGTCCTGCACTGTTTTTTGCAATTACTAGAGCTACGCTCTTCTGGACAGAGATCTCCGATGTTATTCCTGGGATCTGCTGGAGCCGCTCGCCTAGCTGGGGAGTCACTGCAACTAGCGCTCCGATTACCACTGGGACCACTGTTACCTTTACCCTTCACATCTTCTCAGGTTCTTTGAGCCCTTGGTATTTCACCAGCTTCTTGTGTTCCTTCTTCCTGATGTTGCTCTCATTTGATATCGTTATCCTCCTCTGCTTGTTCACCACTACTATGTCCGGTTGGTTAGCCATCACCAGTTTCTGTCTGTACCTGAAAGACCCTAGGGACCATGTCCCATCTTGACCTCGGGACTTCAAGGCCACACTTAACTTAGATGTTCCTGTATACTATGCCGGCCACTTGGTTATGGCATTCAATGTTTCCCCAGCCTGCAAGAATCTTGCCATCTGCAGTTATGTACTGGATTGCATCTGTACACAGCCTGCACCTGGGATCTTGCCTTGTGTGGTAGACCCTGCCTCTATAGATCTTGTTTCTGTGCTGCCATGATTAGTGCCTCTGCGCTTTCTTTCAGTCCAGCATTGTCCAGCCACTGGTAGGATTTCTAGACAAGGTGCTTCCTTGTCTTGATGTCAATGGCTTCTATCTCCTTCTTTGGCCAGCTTATTATCCCAGCATGGTATCTGATCACTGGCAGGGCACAGGTGTTGATTACCCTGATCTTGGTTTTTCCATTCAGCTCACTCCTCAGGACTTGCCTTACCCTCTGCAGGTATTTGGTGGTTGCAACTTTCCTGGTGGCTTCTTTGTGGTTCCCATTTGCCTGTGGGATTCCCAAGGCACTTGTGCCCCACTCATGTATTGAGCCTTATGTCTTGTCATCCTAGCTGCTATGATGCCTGACAGGTAGGTACTTCAGAGGGTATTTCCTTGAAGTTTGATGCCAGGGAGAATTTTAAAGAAGTATTTCATTAGGATAAGAAAGGATACAAGTTGTGCTTGAGAAAATAAGCAGTATGAAAAACAACTAGCTGAATACTTCAAGCAATTCAGTTCAGTCCTCTAGAAGTAGAAATGGCATGGGGTTTGTGACTGTTTCACATTGTGTAGCCAAATAATCATTAGACTTAATAATTTAACTCAATAATTTGAATCTTTTAATATAAAACTATAGAAGGGACAAGGGCATTAGCCACATATGCAACATATGCAAGGGCACCATTATTGCTGAGGAAGTCAGACAAAGGAACTGAACAGTGCGTCTGCAAATTTTTCAAAATAAAAGACACTGCAGAGGAGTGAACAAATCTGCATTACAGAAACAAACCTGACACCCATCATTCTACCTAAGCCTGTGCTTGTAGCTCACCTTCTGCCTCTGGGCTCCACTTTCAACCCTTAAAAGCTAAAGAAATAAAAAATACCCAACCAAACACACACTTCTCTGAAAACATAAAGCCCAGGGTTGAAATGTTTTATTTCTTAGCCTTGATGCCTTTGCTTTCTACCACCAGCAACCCCCTGAATACATAATCCCACTTATTTGACAGTCTAAAGAAAATCAGACAGCCTCTCAATACACTAAAGAGGTGAGAGCTGCGGGGCGCTCAATAGAGAGGCAATTCATTCATTATGGCCGTCACTTACAGCAGTAGGAGACTGGACAGAACAGGAGGCATACACGAGGGAACAACAGAGAAATAGAAGTAATGGAAAGAGGGAGCGTTCAGAAAGGAGGGACAGCGGAAGACACTTCTTTATTTCAGGAGCTGTGTCTGTGTGTGCTGCTGTCCAAAAACATGAGCAGGAATTAGCAGTCCCACCAGGTCAAAGCTTCACTTTACTGACGTTGTGTTTAGACAATCTTTGTTCCTTCGTACTGAGCTGTCTTTAATTTACAGGATTTTTCTCTTCATCACAGCTCAGTTGTGAGCCAAGAAGAGGTTTCACACAGAGATTTGATAAGAAAAAAATTAGGGAGGGAGTGGGTGTCACAGGACAGCTGTGTGGTAGGAAGGCTAAGGATCGAAGGAGACAGTGTAATCTCAAATTTATAAAATAAACAAAGTCCAAAAACTAAACACTAAAAACTAAATACTGGTAACCACAGAGCCAGGGACACGCAGCACTGGCGGATAACATGACAAAGGGCAAGAAGAGACTCAGACAATTTCTAAACAAGCTACTGAGGCTAAGGGAAACAGGTGGGAGACACTAACACAAAGACGAGACTGAAGGAACAGTATAACATTGCTCTCATATAGTACATTTTTACATAGTGTGGCAGTCTGATGCACAGAGTGATTTTCTTAAAACAACACAAAACAGAGCAGTGCTGTTAGTCCAGATCGAGGGGCGACTCTTTCTAATTAAAATCTTGCTGTTTGTTGTCTTCCTCATGTCTTCTTCTAATAACATTTCATATGAGCTTTTGTTCCCAAGAGTTTAAGTACCTCACACCTCACGAATGTTATGCATTTGGCACCTTAAACATTAATGACTGCAAAACATGAAAAAAACCAAGCTGGTTCGTGCAGTTGTCCTGTGTTTCCTGTAAGCCGATGCATGCATTCTTCCTCTAACAAGTGACAGACCAACCACTGAAATCAGTGCACAGCTTGATAACAGCTGGCAGCGGTCAGATCATATTTCATCACTTATATTCACACTCAGCCTCTCTACTCTGGCTCTCAGCTGACTGCAGTATGTTGTAAGCAGAATTATTCAAATGTGCATGCGTCACTTTTTTCTTTTAGTTTACTTTGAAGAAAAGTAGAAAAGCCTTAATTCTATTATCAATATTTGTATTCATTATTTTTATTCATTGTTAAAGACATTCCTTGAACCTGTTTCCACTAGAAATTGACGTCCTTGTGTATTAGTATCTACAGTAATCTGCCTTATTTCATTTTAAAACAGCCACCATTACTTTTCCAGAAAGCTAAAACATCAATGGGAACCTACTCGGTTAATTTCTCACTCTGTACTTTAATGTTGGCTCTCTGTAGTTTAGAATAATCTTTATGTGTATTATACTGGGCCTTTGCCCAGTGCCTCAGTTCACCAGAACTGTCTCTGTTGACGCCAACCTCCCTTTAAGCCACCTTTCTTTTGATTGGATGCCCCTCGCTAACAGAATGTGCATGAAGCTTCTGTGCTCACAGCCTGAGCTGTTCAACTGATGTGAACAAAATAGGGATATCTGCTCTCACTGACATCATATAAAGCAAATATTACAACAAAAAGTCTAAAACAGGGTGTTTTTACTTGAAGCCTCAAGCTTCTGGCTTACTGGGATATGCTAACCTCATTATTTGAAACTTTGGCCATGTTTAACATGAGAGTCCATCAATGTAGGCAGTTTAAAGAGGAAATGCACCTTAAGTTCTTAGAATGAGGCCTTTTTGATGTTTAAATCTACAGTCACTGTATCAAAAAAGTTGAAAAGTACACTTGGACCATAGATGTGTATTCAGGATACATGCCAACCCAGTCTTGGTGCCTGGATCATTAATGTGTTTGAGGATTGGCTGCTTTACTGTTTGGAAAGTAATGAAATCCGAATGCAACTCCGCTGCCGTTTTGTCACCCTCTGTTAAGAAATTATCTTTTCCAGCAGAGTTTTTCCGTGTAGGAAGCAAGAAAGAAAAATATCTGCTTAAGTAAAAAGTGTGACCTGCTGACAGAAATGAAGGCAGGCTGCAAAGATGGTACAGTGGTGAGAGGAGGGCGAGCTGACTGATAGGTCCTGAAATGGAGGGATATGAGGAGGGTGTCTCGGAGACAAAGTCCCCGAGGCCTGTGAGAGGCAGATAGCTGCCTCCTCCTCCTCTTCTTCGCGGCCTTGTCCCTTCATCTCTGTCTGGAGAAATGCAAATTCCTGTTATCTCTTTCGGGCTAGTAGCGCCTCTGCCCATCCGTTCCTCCTCACCATCATCCAGAACGTCTCTAAAGCCCGCTGAACTTTCCCCAGCGATCGAGGCTCAAGTGGGGACACGAGACAGTGACGAGAATGAAGATAAGAGACACAACTGATTATTTCTTTATTATTCCACCGACAGTTAAACGCTGCACAACATCTCTGAAATAGTTGAGTAAGTGCAGGGCTTTAGTCTTTGATGTGATAATAGACGGTTGGGGTGTTGCGGTTTCGCCATCAAGACTCAAGTGGAAAATTGCTTTGCACACTCTGGCAAACACGTCTGCTGCGTCATGTGTCTCGCCCCCAGATACACATCCTCTGATACCCCAACCTCTTTATCCACGTCTATCAGGGTGCGCTGGGTCACTCGGCAGAACGACTCCTGTCTCCCGTCCAAACCTACTGGTCTGGTTGCTCCTCCAGTTAAGTCTGGTGTGCAGAGTGTTGGGAGTGGTTTGTTGTTTTATCCCCTACTCTAGCAGACTATCCCACGGAGGTAAGAGCTGTAAATGTCTTGTATCAGGCTGCCTGCTTGGCTGGAAGATTGTTGTTGGTGGTTTTGTACTGTGGTTTGTGCCAGACAAGGTTTTTAAACCCTGAATCTCCCTGATTTAGTTTCCAAGAAGCATCTTTTGCAGAAATAACTCATTGTTTGGTCCCCTTTTCTGTATTTAGGGGGGATATCTCTTTGTACAGTAGCCACACCACACCCACAGGTTCACCAAGTACTAGAAACACATTCAGACATGAACACATGTATGCACACAGACTGTGGTTTTCTTCCCCATTTCATAAATGCCTCTGTACTCCAGACTCATTTCATAAATCTCACCACATTCCCTGCTAAACCCCATAGCAATAAAAATCTGTCTGTGTACAGTATAATATACCAAGCACAGGCAGTATATCCAATAATAACACTAATAAATATGACTGAGAACAGAGGGCAAAAGCAGTGTTCACTTACCACCGGTCGCCACTGTGATTTCACGCAGGTAATGTCCGTAAAAAGGAAAATCGAAGGACAGATTAACTCTCTGTGAAAAAACAAAAACAAAAAACAGACAGATGACCTCAGTCAGGATGATAGAGCTAAGACAGGATCCAAGAAAAAGCTGTTTTGATCTTAAAAAAACAAAGAGGATTTAGATCAGAAGGAAAATGTGAAAAACAAATACCAAAGTGCCCGGTGTGTTACATCTGCTCTACTTTACAGGGTAATCTTTATGAGAAGAAAGAAGTCCTACAAACTAAAAAAGACAAACACTGAACTCAAAGTTTTGCTGAAAAAAAATGTTTATGTCACAGCTGAAATATACAATGTGAAGCAATGACAGTACTTTCTTAAACACTCATGGAGAAATACTTATATTCAAATTCAAATTTTATTTGTCACACACACACAACCATACACAGTATGACATGGGGGTGAAATGCTTGTAGCTGTACAATGCCCGACCATTAAATGACATATACACCTTATCTCTGCATGTAACTATTCAGTGGCGGTCGTTTTTTTACCTAGGAAAACATGAAGTCTTGAGCCACCCCTTAGTTCATTATATTCTGCTTTCAAAGAGCCAGATCTTCTTCTGAATTTAAAAAGTACGGTGAGCAAAGGTTGTTTCACTAAAATACAAATGCTTCCCACTTCTTTAGTTGAATCTGTCAAAAAATGCCAAATATATTATACAGTTTGGCCCCTTGTGAATAAGGCAGTGGACAAAAGTAGGGTTTACTGTTCTTCCATGTATGTTTGTACATGCTTCAATAAATCAGTGCAACTATTCCCCATTTTCCTAGCAAAATATAGAGAAATGAGGATATGGCTCGGGACTTACATGTCAGCACTGTGACTCCCAAAGTCAGAAATATGTCTTTACCTACCCTCTGAACTGACCCATACATAAAATTCAAGGCTCACTTGAGACCACTTTTTACGTTTTACTATAAATTTCTATTAGATTGAGACAGAAAAAAAAATGGCATGGCAGGAAAAGATCTTTTTGGTAAAACCCAAGACACATATTACCGGTAGAAATCTCAACCCTCTAGATCAGTGTTTCCCAACCACTGTGCCACAGCGCATAGGTGTGCCATGAGAAATGATCAGGTGTGATTAGTTCTCTAAGCAATCAGCCTGAGTAACGGGCAGAACAATTACATTCTCTTCCACTAGAGGGCAGTACAACTACCTGCTCTAATTAAATAGGTTGCCAACTGTGAGACGATCCAGCGCATGATAGCAATAGATACATATTTGAAAAGAGAAAGTTGTCAATCTGACCTGGGTCCTGGAGATGAAGGCCCTAGCATGAGTAGTGGTTACAAGAAAGCATAAAAGCTATACTGGGGTCAAATCGAACCAATTCTGCTATACCTGGTGCGCGGGGGAAAATGATCAATTTGCTTTTGGTGATTTTTTTGTTTGGTGATGTGCCGTGTGATCTTTCTAATGTAAAATATGTTCCGTGGCTCCTAAAGGTTGGGAAACACTGCTCTAGCATACTAGTAGGAATAATCGCATGACTAATGTGCACACGTCACCTCTCAGTGAGGTGCAATTCGGCACCTTGAAAATCTAGAGTACACCTGATGATTTCTCACGACACACGTATGTGCCGCTGCACAGTGATTAGGAAACACTGTGCTGGAGTTGGTAGTAACAGTTAGCAGAAATAGTCTATCCGGTCACTTCGTAGCGGAGGAAAGTCATGCTTTAAGTTTAACAGCTAACAATAGCTTTCCTGTGTGCTTCATCCAGACTAATTAGCTATTTCTTTTCACACTAACTCACCATACTAAAATCTTCTAAATGGTAAAATTTGACCAGCCAAAAATCATCAACATCACTGTTACCAATGTATGTTTCATGCTAACGTTAGCATTTAGCTCAAAGCATTATCCAGCGTACCCTCATAGAGCTGCTAGCATGGCTGTAGATTCTTGAGTCCTACCATTTCTCACGGGAAATATTTAAACAACAAGCTTTTACACAGAGATGGGCTCATATTGTATTTATAAATATTTTCAAATGAACGGAGACATAATAAAATTATCTTTAAGAGACTACAGGGTAGCCAAAAATGTATCCTATAAATTATAGTTTACATTCATTGTTTTATCCCTCGGGTTAAATTCCAGACACTGCCAGTAAGTGTTATGGAGATGGACAGTCCACAGTGAACATGCTGATATTATGCATGGTTCTACAGATTGTGCCAGAGGGAGTAATCCTGTGGCAAACCACGATGAATCTTGAAGACCATAGAGACAATCCAGAGCTTAACTTTTCTGCACTCCGGTGATGAAGCTAACCTCTGTGACTGCATTTTGTTTTACAACTTTATTAGCCAATTTCTTTGAGTAATAGCTGGCAGCCGGCACAGTTTGGAAGGAAGATCTCTGAGTATATGCAGGACTTTAACTGTCTTCATTATAAAGTCTATTTGTTTAAAATGTTAGTCTGCTGAGGTTGTGCCGCAGATCTGTTCAGCCCAGATGGTTTTCCCTGCTTCTTTCGCTCCAATATGAAATCAAATTACTCAGCCGAGAATTCCAGCGTCTACTTTTGACTCCAGATTCCTCAGTTGACCGCTGAATTAGGAATTCACTTCGTAAAACAAAGTCAGAGAACCTTTCCTCGATGCTGTTTACAAGAACGCCTCGCTTCTTAGCCGGGACGTTCAGTGGCTAAAATGAATAGCTTGCCTCAGAGTGGATAGCTCAATCCATCACCACCCAGCTGAAGGTAAAGGAGCAGAATTCACAATGTGGGCCTCTATTCTGTACCCTTGCCAGCTATTGCTCACCCTGGGCAGTTTTTCTTTCTCTCTCTCTTTCTTTTACTGCAATTCTGCTTTGTTTCTTAGTCAGTCTGCTGCTGCCTTGTGTGACTCCATCAGTATGCAGCTTGCATGCATCACCTGCTTGTGCTGAGGTGGAGGGAGGGGAGCTTTCTAATTTTTTCACTGCAGGGATACTTTTAATGGTAAAAATGCAAGAAGAATTACTTGCTGTTTTTAGCCTTAAAAACAACCGTAGTCCCTCCAGTAATGTGTGTGTAGTGATAAGAAAATAACTGTTTTCAGAGGGGTTATTGTCACGATCCTCTTCATTTACAGTGACAAATTGTACACTTTAAGTCAGCTTCATATGTTATGTCTGCTTCGTTGGATGTCCCAAATTTACAATCTGGTTCATTCTTAAAAAGGGTCAACTAAAGTGCATGGTGAATTATTTCTACTTCATAACATCTAAGCAAGTATCCCCTTCATGAATGGAAATACAGAGGGTTTATGACAAGGTTATAGTCAAGAACAGGAAGGACAGATTAGACTTTGGCAGAAAACATTTAAAAGAGTCTGCACAGTTTTGGAAAAAACTTATTTTGACAGATGAAACCAAGATTAGCTTGAACCAGAATGATAGGAAGAGAAAAGGATGAAGGAGAGAAACAGCTCAAAGGATGAATTATGGCATGGGCATGTATGGCTGCCAGTGGAACTGGGCCACTAGTGTTTATTGATGATGTGCCTGCTGATAGAAGTAGCAGGATGAATTGTGAAGTGTACAGGGCTATGCTCTCTGCTCAGACTCAGCCAAATGCTGCAAAGCTGACCAGACAGAGCTTTACAATGCAAATGGATAATGACCCATAGCATACCACAAAAGCAACCCAAGAGTTTCCAAAGCAAAGAAATGGGGCATTTTTCAATGTCCAAGTCAGTCACCTGATCTCAATCTGATAAAACATGCTTTTCAGTCATTAAATATAAAAATATACAAAAAAGGAACCACAAACTTCTGTTGTACAGTGGCAGAAATACAAAAGTTGTGCCTTTGTTCAACTAAACGCAGAAAGACTGTTAGTCTTATTATGTCCTACCAATCTTTACTGTGTCAAATGTAAAATGTCTTAAAGTTGGATAATAATTGTGGTTCCACAGTAACACAGATATTGTAGTGAGCAGCAGTTGTAGATGGAGCAATAGGTCCATTTCTGGAAAAAACACCAACATCTGTGAACCGAGCTAAAGCAGATCAAAGCACCTGTACACAGAATTCAACATAAGTAAGGTTCAGATGTAAACATATTTCCTTTAAAATGCTCAGATTCATTTTCAGGATAACAAAATTATAGCTCATAACCATTTATCAGAGTGAAAAACACACATCTGATGGATAATTTTTGGTATCAAATGTCTTTAAATATGCCAACATCGAGTAAATCTCCTCTCATGATGTGTGTTGACTTACCGCAGCTTGTCTGTGTGTGTTGGACAGAATGCCGTGGATCTTCACTTTGTCCTTGTCCATCTGGTCGATATTTACCCACAAGCCCTTGCTCATCGGATCTGAAGGGCCGTACGTTTTTGATGTGTAGTAGTTGTGATCTGTATCCTCCTGAAGAATGAAAGAGAAAATAAGATAATACATCGGGTGAGTCTGAGTCGATCTGTGAAGTTTGTACAGTATAATAAGGGCGCAAAGTGTAGAGAATATAAACACATTTAAAAATAGAGATTGTGCAGCTCATTGCAGTCTAATACACAGTTACCACTAAATAAAAATAAAACACATGCATATGGAAATTCACTGACATCCAGTATTTTTAATTTTGCAGCTAACCAAATTACCCACTAAATTAGATTATAACAGTCCCCGTCCTTTCCTTCAACCTCTTTCCTTCAAAGCGCTCAGCACATGTACTGCTTTTAATGTTTCCTAATAAAATTAAACAACAAAAAAATGCAATCAGCTCCTTTTTCTCTTAAAAAGCCTGCAAAGTCAGGGCTGCCTTTAATAACAGAGCCATCCATGAACTTTTACAAGGCCATACGAGACGGGCTTGTCTGCTTTTACTGTTTCCTGTGCAGAATTAAGAAGAATGTTCGTGTTGTCTGTTTCCCGCAGGGTCTAATGAGGTACCTTGCAGCTGTGTCTTTTTATTTGAAACACTGTTAAAGTTTATGTTTTGCTGGATGTACATTACTTGCGACTGTGATCTGACTAATAGGAGCTCACAGAGCTCTGCAGATGCTTTGATATATGGGCGGTAATATTCAGAGCTTGTCAAAAGGCCATGAGACAAACATTAATTAAAGCACAATCCTTCCCTGTTCAGTTCGTTTTGCTTCAAGGATTCATATTTCCCCTCAGAGAGTTATAATCTAATACCGCTATTCAATATTCAGCCTGCTATATAAGACAAGGGGAGATAATGTTTCAGGCCTGGCAAAGCCTCTGTGGGACTGATAAATATCTGAATCCCAAATGGAGTTCAGTCATGTAGGTGGTGCTGCTTCTGATTAATGTGTACATTTAAACAAACACTGCCACAAGCCTTTCATCACAGATTAACGTGCAGACAGACCATGTCAGGGAAAAAGGCCCCTTCAGGCAGCCTTATTCAGCACATTACTCCCAGAATAGAAAAACAAGTCTACTTGTAAAACACACAAATGCAGGGCTGTAAAGTTTCCTGCTAATCAGCACAGGATGATTTCTTGTCTCACGCAGAGAGAGCGAGGGAGATGTAGGCTCCTCAGAGGTGAGAGGGGCCAGCTGGAGAGTTCTTCAAGTAAAGGGGACGGTGGGCAGGGCGCCATCGTCCAGCTGGGTGTAGGTGGATGTGAAGCTGTGGGGGCTTCTCAAGAGAATAACAAACACAGTACAAGGAGCATAAAAAAAATGCTCACACAAATAGTTTTGGTGGGAGGTTGAAAGAGGAAGGTCCCGTTTCTTTAAAACATCCACAAAAATGTCCAACAAGTAAAGTGTAGTACTCAAAATCAGTGTGGGAAAATACAAACATGGTGAGAAATCTGCTCTCACTCTGGTCTCGGTTTTGGGTGGCTTTTATGGGAAACTGGAACAGGTAGGCGCCAAGACAAAGAACAAATAACTCTACTTAATTAGATTTCAGTCCAAAAGTTGGTCAAGAAACCGAGATTCAGTTAGGATTCTTTGAGTTTAGCCTTCATCTGTCTTCAAAAGAGTAGACAGTGCTTATGGTTAAAGTTACACTGTGTAAAAGAAGATTGCAGCATTCCTTTTCTCCCAGTTCAAGTGTATAAACATAACTAGGGTGGCTGCTACAGGACAAACATCTTTTCGTCAACCAAGAGAGATCAAAAACATTAAGTTTAGACTGTACCCAATAAATGCTGTGGCTGGCCAGCGTGTTTCTACTAATGTCTGAACCAGATCCAGATCTGCCCCAAAGTTTTTCACTATCTGTGGATGGCTGTCAGTTCAGCTATCAATGCTTATTTATTCTGGAAGAAGCGGTAAAACTTTGTGAAATGAGTCTGATACAGGTCAGTGAGCCAGAGAAGCTCACTTTTGACCGATACCAGCGATACTGAAGTGGATTGTTTAGGATATCCAGAACTGTTGGTAGTTTCTGCTGCTGTTAGCTACTGTTAGCCTCATTTAGCTGCTGTTAGCAGGTGTTAGTGAAACAGTCTTTGAAATGAACATCTGATGGACTCCCCATGAGAAAATGTAATCAAACTGTTTATCAGAGGGAAAGGAAAGATTTTTAGCATACTAGAACCTAACATTAGCTGGCATGATGTTAGCTTAAAACCAGCTAATGTTGTTGTTTAGCTGGCTCTTGTCAGCTGTGTGGAGGGTTGCAGGACAATAAGTAATTGTGACAATATTGGGAATAATTGAGCATGTATATACATATTCTCGTTTGTTCAAGTGCCTGACTTGAATTCAGCAAATGAGGCTTGAGGTGAAAAGGAAGAGGATGACATCTGTACTGCATATTCTATGTATTTATTATCTCACTCTTATTGCCTCTTTATGCCCTGTCGTAATGTTCAATGTCATGCTGCTCTGTTGTATCTTAATTGCCCCTTGGGGATAAATAAAGTCTTTCTGATTCTGATCTTATTAAGATGCCTGTGGCATTGTCTTTTTCCTTTGCGTTTTTGCTTTTTTGGTTAAGGGGACCACTTCCTGCTATACCATTAAAGTTTAAAGGAATCTAAAATCAGAAGTAGCAAAATCTCTTCTTACTGCCAGTTTTCCTTTAAGAAACCTTTAAGAAACTTGTGTGTGATAGTAGCTCCTTTGTTGTGGAAAGTTTGCATTGAGTCGGTGGGAGAAGTAGCTTCAGCCGCGGTGAAGCACATGCTGACAGCCAGGATTAAGTGACTGTAATCAACCATATAGTGTCTGGATATGTCTCAGCATAACAACTATCCAACCGTTCTTTATCGTCTTCCTCTTCCTGTCCTCGTCATGCAGAATTCATCTCCAGAGTAAAGGTTGTCAGTGAGCCAAGTCAAAGTAAAGATAGCACCAAAAGTTAAATTCAAACTCTGAGCAAGAATTAGCATCTCATTCAACATTCTGACATGACAAGCTACTCCATTTGAAGCCTGTAAGTGATATAGAAATGAGGCTTCGTTTCATGGTCTCATTTGTGTATGCATATGCACTTACATGTTTAAAAATAGGGCTAAAATGCAGCTTTTTCTTGACTCGACTTGAACCGTGTTTTTTGTCTTGCCATTAGATGATGAGGGCTGGCACTGCGATTGGCAGACCTGCTGGGATTGATGCTGAGCGTGACTTCATCGCCCCACCGGATCTCACGCTATGCTTGATTTAAAAGGAAAAAAACGCTTTAAATCCATCCTAAACACTTTGCCCTTTGGTCTACCCCACTATACAAACAGCCACATTCATACAAATGTTACACTATCATTCACATATATAACAAAATAAAAAACATCATCATGAAAGCTGCCTGTGTGGCATTAAGTCATGGTGACATTTTGACAAGTCTAAACCTAGAGAAATCCCTTTAAGGTAAAGTAACTGCAGTCACTTTCATATGCACGATTGCATTTTGAAACGCACACCAGGACATAAAGACAGCTGACGTCTTTCATAAATCAAAACCCACAGAGGTTGTTAGACGTTCCACTCACCAGAAAGAAAAACAGTTGAAAAATCACTGGTGACAGTATAAATCCAAAAATGTGGAGCAGAATATTTTTAATATATTATTAGAAGCTACATGGAAGAGATACCCATCTCTGTTTTCAGCTTAAACTGCGGCGTCCCTGAGCTGACCTCTGTAGTTCAGCTTATTGCACAGTTGAACTCATGAACACCTAGTGCATCATATTTGAGATTTCTTTTTTTAATAGTAATAGTATGAGGAATACCTCGTCTCCTTGATATCATAGAGAGACAAATACACATAGAAACTGGGTGATAGAGCAGTCTGATCTATAAGCTTTTGGCTCTCAGGGGTCTAATTAAACTTTTCCCATGTTTAACATGATCATTCACTATAGGTACCTGGTAAAGTGTTCATCAATAGAATTACCCAATCAGCCAATCACATAACAGCAGCTCACTGCATTTATGCATGTAGACATGGTTAAGATGACCTGCTTAAGTTCAAACCGAGCATCAGAATGGGGGAAAAAAGAGGATTTCAGTAACTTTGAACATGGGGCGATCGTGGCTCAAGAGTTGGGAGTTCGCCTTGCTGGTTCGAGCCCTGGCTTGCACAGTCTCGGTCGTTGTGTGCTTTATGGAATGGTTGTTGGTGTCAGATGGGCTCATCTGAGTATTTTCCAAACTGTTGATTTGCTGGGATTTTCCCACAAAACCATTTAAGAGGATAATTACCAGCTTGCAAAGGAAAGCAGAAGAGAATATTTGAATGTAACAAACCTTGAAGCAGATGGGCTACAGCAGCAGAAGACCACACCGGGTGCCACTCATGTTAGCTAAGAACCGGCGGGTGGTGGCATGGTAGGCGAGTTCTTGGCACTCTGTCAGCCTCTTAGCACCACAGCTAGGTCCCTTAGCTATGGAAACACCACAGCCTACCTGAGTATTGTTGCTAACCATGTTCATTCTTTTAAGACCACAGTGTACCCATCCTCTGATGACTACTTTGAAGATAATGTTCAAATGATCTTAACTGGTTTCTTGAAAATGAAAATAAGTTCAGTGTACTCAAACGGTCTCCACAGTCACCAGATGTCAATCCCATAGAGAACCTTTGGGATGTGGTGGAATAGAAGGTTCAGTGGTTATGTGTGTATTATTAGTGTAAAGTCAAATGTCAGTTGTATATTCATACACAGTGGGGATAAGTTCAAACTGACACCCACAGAGTTACAGATGTGGATCAGCTGCCCTGAAAAGCTCAAGCAGGAGGAGGTGAATGTGAAAGCTGAAAAAATGTCTCTTAGATCCAGTATTTCATCTCTTCTTCATAAAGTGATAGACTACAAATAGATGGAGATGGAGAAATACTGTAATTGCTGTTGATAATGGATCACTTTGTGGATCTCGTGTACAAAAACAAACTGCTGTAAAGATTCAGAGTACAAAACCCATCCTCGATTCACTCCCATCTC